TGGACTTCAACTCCCAGAATTCCCCAGCCAGCATTCGCTGGCTGGGGAATTCTGGGAGTTGAAGTCCAGACATCTTCAAGTTGCCAAGGTTGAGAAACACTGGCTTAGGAGACCCTCTGAAAGGGCCTCACCCATGCCGTGTGTTGCCCAAAGGCCAGCTCAGACCACGCTCGGGTTCTCCCCTCCCACCCCCCGATTCCAGTTTCCTTCTCACCCAGAAGCTTCCCATTGGGGGGGGGAGGGGAGTTCAAGCACCCAAACCCCGAAGCAGAGCCCAGGACCCCAGCCACGCTGCCACCGCTACCTTCCTCCTCCTGCCCCCATTCTCCACAGCCGCCTGCCTTCCGCTTGAGCCCGGCTTTGGCCGTCTTTCTGTCGGCTTTCTTCTTCGCCTCGGCTTCCTTGTGCTGCTCCGCTCTCTCTTCCTCCTGGTTGGCCAGGGAAGCCTCCTTCTGTGCCGCCTGTCAGGACAAGCGGCCCCCATGAGCAGAGGCTCCAATCCGGTCCTTTCTTCCCCCCGGAAAGGTGCTCGCAGCCCCCTTTCTTGCTGCTGCCGCCAAGCCAAGCATGCCCATTCCGAGGCGTCGCTTGGGAGCAATGCAGGAAGGGGACGTGGGAGGCCTTTGGGGGCTCGTTCACGAGGGGAAGAGAATTAAGCGTGAAACCCTCCCTGGATCCTTCCAACGGGGAGAGGTTCTCCTCCACTGCGCCCAGGACTCTGAAGCAGCAAAGCTTCCGTCCCTCACTGTTCAGCTTTATCCCCCCCCCCCCTTTCTGCTCATAACTACAGGAGGCTTTCAAAGATCAGGTAAGACCCCCCCCCCCCGCCCTGCCTTTGGTTTCAAGAGGGGAGGGGGGTCTGTTTTTTCCAACAGTGGCCCCTTCACCTTTTCTCTCTGCTCTTTCACTCGAGCCAGCCGGGTTTCCGTCCTCTGCACAGCCGCGTCCCAGTGCTCTAAAGTGCCTGCGAGAGGACAGGAAAGGGAGGTCGGCCCTCTCCTCCCTTCGAGAAAGCTCCCATATATTAACCTGAGCAGGAAGTGGAGGACCGGAAGGGGGGGGGTGTGTTTGCTCACCTTCGATTCTCTCCAGCGTGAGCAGCACCTCACAGACGTGTTCGGGGTAGTCCTGGGTACACTGCACGGCCCGGTACAACGCCTTCCTGCAGTGGGGGGTATCCCCGTGTGCCCTGCAGCCGGAGAGGAGAGACAGGAGAAGGGATGCAGTCATCAACAGCCAAGGAGACACGGCTGAGCCAATCCTTGGGAAACTCCCTCCCCCCCAAAGAAAGAAAAACTGGGGAGGCCCTGGTGGGAAAACAGCAGGTGTGCAACACCCCATAACTGGGGTACCTGAGAGACCGCCTCCTGCCAATTACCTCCCAAAGACCGATTCGATCGCACAGACTTGGCCTCCTCTGGATTCCATCTGCCAGCCAATGCTGGCTGGCGACCCCCCCGGGGGAGGGCCTTCTCTGTTGCTGCCCCGGCCCTCTGGAACGATCTCCCCGTTAAGATCCGGGCCCTTACTACCCTTCCGGCCTTCCGTAAAGCTACCAAGTCCTGGCTGTTCCGGCAGGCTGTTAAAGCACCCAGCCCCGTTTTAACTGTGAATGTTGTGGTATTTTATATTTTGTGTTGTCTTATTTATCCCCCTTCCTTCTTTTATTGTAAGCCGCCCGGAGTCCTTCGGGAGTGGGCGGCATACAAAACCAATAAACTCAAACTCACAAGACCTCCCAGCTGGGCCCACCAAGCAAAACCTTCTGTTCCTCCTTTGGGAGTGAAGAATGAATTTTTTTCCTGGGTTGTGTAGGGTCAATGGCTCCTCTTCCGCACCCCCAAGGGGTGGGAGGGTTTTCCCTACGTCAGCCCCACACCAGCCCTGACTTAAGCTCGCATTTCCAGCCCTCTCCCAGCACATTGGAGCATGGTGGGCCCCATGCTTAGGACGCTGGGCCGGAGGTCAGCAAAGCCCACGCCTGAAACCCAAGTGCGCGGCGGAATGAGCGCCCACCCTTCGCTCCAGCTTGAGGAGGACATGAAAGGAGGCCCATCCGAGCACCTCCCAGGCAACGGGGATGCCACTGGCTCTTCCTTCCAACCCGGAAGACTTAAGCGGGGCCTCTGACCCCCAAGAGGGCGGGGCCTCCAGCCACCTGACAAGCCCAGCAAGAACCGAGCGCTGGTCACACGGGCGGAAAGGAAGGGAGGCTCCCTCTTACCGCTCCAGGTTGTAATACTCCAGCCACATGTTGGCGTATTTCGCGTTCCCTTTCACCATGATGAAGTCCCAGAGTTCTCGCGCCTTCTGCATGTTGTTGCACAAGCGAGCCTAGGGAGGGGGAAGGGCCCCCCGATTAATACAGTCTGAAAATATCCACGGGTAAACTTACCCCCCCTGCTCCCCCCGAGGTGAGCAAATAAAAACGAGCTAAGGTCACCTCGATCCTGGCCCAGGCCTGCATGAGACTACAGGAAGGGTCTCCGCTCACATTAAACCCTGCAGGCAAACAGAAATAAGCCACGATTATTTCTGCTAGTGACGCTAACGCCTGTGGCAGAAAAACCCTTGCTTTCTAAATAAAAGGCAACCTACGTTCCTCGACGTCTTGCTTTAAATATTTGATGGCACGGCCAAAGGCCGACCGGAGCTCTTCCAGCTCCTTACTGGAGTCTGAAAAACAGCGAGGAGAAAGCGCGGCCGTTCAGAAGACATCCCTGGAGTACTAGCTTTCCAGAGGCAAGGTGCTTTACGTCAATTGTAAAAGATGAATTGATGTAAGTGCTTAATAATGCAACATGATATTGACTATGTAATAGTACACATGTGATTATATGCTATGGAGTTTATTTAAAGGTGGTATGATTGTACATGTATGCTGCTATTTTTTCTTTTTTATGTACATTGAAATGGAATTATAAATACCATCAACACAAAAGGGAGTTGGCTCTGAAGCTGAAATGCACCAAGTGAATGAGAGGAAGAGTGGGAAGCAGAGGAGAGAAGAAAGATGGGAAGAGAGGGATAGGAGAGAGGGTGAGGGGGGAAGATGAGGTGTACAAGGAGGAGTGGTAAGGGGAGAGAGGAGAAGGAGAAAGGAAGGGGAAGTAGAGTAGAAAGGATGGAGGGAAGACATGATGTAGAAGAGTGGGAAGCAGAGGAGAGAAGAAAGATAGGAAGAGAGGGATAGGAGAGAGGGTGAGGGGGGAAGATGAGGTGTACAAGGAGGAGTGGTAAGGGGAGAGAGGAGAAGGAGAAAGGAAGGGGAAGTANACCGCTGAACTGCAGATAACAGTCAGCTGAAGTGGCTTGCAGTACTGCACCCTAACCACTGCGCCACCTCGGCTCTCTACTATACCTTCTCTATTTGGCTACTTTCAGCTGTGCCATAAAATGCATAAACAATGAAATTGTACACTGCCCACAGCCCCACTCTGAGGGTGATGTGTGATTAAGAAGTATGAAAAATCAAAATTGATTGATTGAGCCCATACATCTTAACTAAAGCCTGAACCAATGTTTAATTGTCTATATTCTTTTCTCAATGTTGAACAACTATCAATACATAGTATTCAATAGTGCTCTCAAGCAATGTATAATAATTGTATATTATTCCACATATAAGATCTCAATCTCTCTCCAGTTAATTATTTTTACTGTCAAACTGCTCTTTACTGTTTTGTTACGTTTCCCTAAATGTTCATCCAGTACCAACTTTCCAGTAACTTAAATTAATTATTCTGTGTCCTGCCCTTTTAGATTATACAGAATTGGATATGGGCTTTCTCTGTGTGATACCCTATAGGTATTTGAGTAGAACTATCATATTTTTCTTCAATTGTCTCTTTCAAGGCTGAACAGTTACATCAATCTTTCTCCTTGGTGTCTGTTCTGATTATTATGAAATCTTTTAAAGAAACACACAAAGATTAGTGATCTGCTTTTCTCCACTGTGCACATACATTCATATCAGAGATTGGTTGCTCCCAGTTCAACCCGGTTCAGCCGAACCAGTAGTATGCAGAAGTGATGCTCAGGAGAGCATGTGTGTGCACAGGAGTGAACCGGTAGTAAAATGGGTAAAAACCACTGATTCACATAGAAACCTGTTGTGGCCCAGCAGGAGCCGTTGGAGCTGCCACCAGACTCCGACAGCGAGAGACCCTATGAGTTGGCTCTGGAGGATGTGGAGGACCATGGACAGGATTCCGACTCCGAGCAGGGTGCAGAGAGGCTGGTTGGCCACCAGGAGGCGCCTGAGCCTTGGACCAGTGGGGAGGAGACAAGGGAGTGTGATCTGGATGTCAGCAGTGGGGAGGAGCCAAAGGAGTTGTTCCTGGATGCCCGGCACC